AGCTGGTAAACGTATCCTATTACCCAGGGTAGAACAGCTATCTGCATTCCCCTCTTGGTTGTGATATTCTTCTTGTATTTGAAGGGATGTAAGACGGCATAGTAACGCTCCAGACTGATGAAGACCAGGTTGAATGTCGACGCAGTGACAGATGACCAGAAGAAGTACCTCTTGTCGAAAGTCACGCAGATGATTTTGGCACGGATGTGGTTGTCTTCGTTGATTGGTAGTGGAGGTACCCACCAAAGGAAAACAAGAAGAGATGTCAGTAGGTCGATCAGGGACTGGTTTACGATGAGAATATTGGTAACGCCTTGCAGCTCTTTGACACTCCCTATGACGACCAGGACAAATACGTTTCCGACCACATCCAAGGAGGCCAAGATGGTCCACACCACATCCAAAATGAATCTACTCCTCTCATCAGCCATGGGAGATGGCGTTGAAGCCGAAGGCAATTGGTCGTACCACGAAGTTGAATTCATATTTTTGATGAATTTTAAACCGGTGTAAAATGGAAATTTTACGAAATACTTTATAAGAGGTGTATATCTCCCGAGTTTTAGAAATGAAATGAACTTCTTCGAGTCGATAAATTTGCTTGAAAGAGAACCGTCATAGTAATGACAGTATCCTAGAAATGTCAATCAGTGCCGTACCGCAGAGAGCCTGGCAAGAACAATACTGTTTTCATGTACGGTCAAAGATATAACCGGTTCTCTATCTGCCGTTCTCCCCTTCTCAGATAATTTAAAGATTACATACATCATCATCAATGAAAAAAAAATGTCGCAGCTTATACTTTACCATAATTTGTTCAATGTTTATATATTCTCTGCAATATCTTATTTTACCAAGGTACCAGTCACCGCTTCACCTAAATGATTAAAACGGTGACTTAACAAAAGTAACTCTACGAACATAATTATGACTGACAGGTGGTTTATCTCTACTCTTCTTTACAAAAAAGATGATAGGTATGTTTCATTTCAATATGTATAGACATAGGTACTACTATCCTTAATGAAAGATAAGTTATCAAGTACAAAACAATGCTTTCTTTCAAAGACATGAAGGCTAAAACTTGAGTTCTTAATCATGAGAAATGTTTATGACCTGCTCTGCTGTATAATATTTTCTTATTCTTACTCCTCTTATTCCGCAAATAAAAATGGCAAATATCTTACGTACACATAGGCTACATAATTATATTCTGTACGGTCACATACCTATTATCAAAGGAAAACGCCGCTATACCTATGTTTAACTTTTATACATATAAGTTATTTAGAAACTTGGGTGACTAAAGATAAAGATATTCTTTCCCTAATTCAAGAGAGAAATATAGTGTACAAAAAATGGAGGAAAAGAGCAAAAGATGAGAAGCTCTATAAAAGATACAGAGTATTAAGAAATATGGTCCAAAGAGAGGTGAAGAGGGCTAAACTCGATTACTTACAAAACAAGATAGAAGAAAATAAACAAGATTCGAAAAAAATTTGGCAGAATCTAAAAAGCTTAGGATTGAAAAATAAGAAGCGAAAAGAACAAGAATCTGTCATTAAAATTGATGGGGAATTATGTCATGATAAGATGGCCATCGCTGATGAATTCAATTCTCATTTCACAAATGTGGCTGCCAAATTAGTAGACAAACTCCCCCCTTCCAAAGACTTTTTCAGCGCAGACAATGATTGTATTCGTGACTTTTACGAAAGAAAAGGTGTACGTGAAAACAGCTTCGAGTTATTACCAATCAGTGAACAATTTGTTTTCAAAGAGTTACGTAAGTTGAATGTATCAAAATGTACTGGGTTAGACTTGATTCCAGCTAAATTTCTAAAAGATGGTGCGAAGGTTTATTTAAGCCTCTAAGTTACTTAATGAACCTATCTATCTAGACGAGTACTTTTCCAGAGGATATGAAAATAGCAAAAGTGACTCCACTTTATAAAAAGAAAGATAAAACTGATGTTAGCAACTATAGACCTATTAGTGTTTTAAGCGTAGCATCAAAGATTCTAGAAAAAATCGGTCTGTGTTCAAATTGAAAGATACTTCAAAGAAAATGATATAATTTATGAATTTCAATCTGGTTTTCGACATGATTATTCGACTGAAACATGTCTAATTCATTTGACTGATTATTTGAGGAGAGAAACTTCCCAAGGGCGCTTTGTTGGTATGGTGCTCCTTGATCTGCAAAAAGCTTTTGATACAGTTAATCATTGCGTCTTATTGAAGAAGTTACAACTAATGGGTTTTGATAAGGCAAGTTTAGATTGGTTTAGATCCTACTTATCTAATCGGCACCAAGTAGTGGCCATTCATGATATTCGTTCCAAACTAATGCCTATAACATGCGGTGTTCCTCAGGGAAGCATTTTAGGCCCAATTCTATTTTCAATTTATATAAATGATATGTGTATTTGTATAAAAGACTTCAAACTATTATTGTACGCAGATGACAGCGTACTACTCTATTCAAATCCTGATCCTAAATATATTGAGGAAAAGCTCAGTGAACAGCTGTCTACGTGTGTCGATTGGATGACTGATAATAAGCTTTCTTTACACTTGGGAAAAACAGAAAGCATTTTATTTTGTTCTAAAAGTAGTTCTAAAAAGTCATTTGAATTCAAAGTGACACACAATAATCAAGCAATCAAGAAAAAAGAGTCTGTGAAGTATTTAGGCATTGAGTTGGCTAGCGCAATTTCATTTTCATCTTTAGTAGAATCAGGTGTAAAAAAAGCAAATTCTCGTCTGAAATTTTTGTACAGATATCAAAGTTGTATGGATTTAAAAGCAAGACGTACACTCTGTTTTGCTCTTACTCTATGTTATTTGACTATGCTAACCCTGCATGGTATAATAACATAAACAAGTCAGATCAAAAGAAGTTGAAGATTATACAGAACAAAATGGTGAGATTTATCAACTGTTCTGGTCCAAGAACTCATGTTGGCTACAGCGAACTTTCTAAAGCTGGTTTTCTTGAAGTCGACCAAAGATCAAAACAACTCGTATTGCATCACGTGCATAAAATATATCATACTAGGTCGAATCATTATATTCGATCCAACTTCGATCTTGTTACTGACGTACATGATTATAATACAAGAAATAGACGATTCAACTTTAACTTACCAAAAAGAGTAGGTACTATTGGAAATTCGTTTTATTACAATGCCATAAAACATTGGAATTCCCTTCCCAATGGTGTAAAAGAAATAGGGAACTATGATCATTTTAAGAGGAAATTAAAGGAATACCTAATACTTGACAGTCAGAGAAGAGAAGTGAATGACATGTTATATGATTGAAATTTTTATTCTTCTGTCGGTTCATACTTTTTCATGTTGTATATACTTATGTTTTCGTACGTTATAGAAATTCTACAAATTCATCATTATTTTCCTCTTCTTCCTTCTCCTCTTTTTCTTCTTCTCCTTCTTCTTTTTCTTCTTGTACTTAATATCATTTTTATCATCAGTTTAATGTTGTTATTATTATTATTATCTTTAATAAGTAGTTCTTTTAATTTTCTTATCTGTCTGTAAATATTACTATTTTAACTTATTAATTTTATACATGTCTGTAAGGGACCCCACTGGAAATAAGCTCTCGAGCTTTCGTGGGTTATCCTGTTCAAGCTGACTTATTTTTGATCTGTTATTATTGTATATTGTTGTATGTTGGAAGCTTGTCGAATAAAAATCAATCAATCAATCAATCATTTTGATTATCTTTGTTATTATCTGGAACAAATTCAAAACAATAGATTTAAATTTATAAACGGTTACGTTTTTCTTTATTTTACACACGCACACACGCGCACACACGCCCATACAGGGATTAGAAATGCAATTAATGTAATAGTAAACTCCATCGCACATATACGATCTGACTACGATCCGAATTTTGATGAATTTGCAATAGTATTAGATATAAGCATTCACATTTCTAAAATCTTAATGATCGATGATTGAAATAGTCATATCATTATCAAAATTAAAATATCAATGGATTTCAAGTTTCTTTGGAGTCGGAAAAAAAATCGACTAAGAATCGTAGTGACGTTATACCAGCAGTGCGAATGTGTTCGATTTGAAGCCGATAATCGGCTTTTATTCTGACTATAAAACTTAAATACATTACAATTCCAGTTGTTAGTATTCTTCATTTTGTATGTATTTATGTTGTCATTATATAGAACCTACTTTAGGAAGATGATATTTGTTTAGATTTTAGAACTACATGTACATCTATGAGGGTTTTTCTTTAAATCAAACCAGAAATGACTTTATATTTTCAACTCATTGTGCTGTTTTGTAAAGGCCAGCAACCCCCTGTTTAAAGACGAAAAATGGTGACTCAAACAAGAAAAATATTAATTCGATAAAACGTGAACAAATGAGGAAATAAAATCGAAAGACATATTCCATATTCCGGACAACTTGTCTATATACCTATATACCTTGAAGGCCACACCTCGCCATCGTGGTGATGAAGATCCAATAGATAGTGTGGTGTGGCAGATAAAACAAGAGATTATTGAAATCGCCCTTAAATTGATTTCTCTATGGTAATTGCGATCGTGTTTCGAGTTCAATCTTGACTCCAATATTCTAAACAATCTTTGAAAAAAACTTGAGTATAATTTTGTTAATGTATACCCGAATAGTGCATGCACGCACTTTACCATGTCCAGCTTCCTCGACAAATCGACCATTTATTATTAGGGTGACCACGTGCTTTGGCGACATCTCCGATCTCTAGTTGGCCGGTCTATGGGAACATCGGATTACTAGAGATGTGAAATTGGTTTGAGGTTAGTCATACATAGAATTGAAGTTCAGTTCAGCTCGATTCAGTTTATGTCATATTTTACATTTCTCCTAACACATAGTGTGTTTCGTCATTTTCAAGTTAGGAAGTTGGTTATTGTTATTGACCACAGATAAATTGTCGCCATGGAATGTATCCTTTTTCAGAGCTCAGGTTGTGTGGGCTGAACCGGTCTCTTCGTTCACACCACCGAAATTCACTCCTCTTGAAATCAATGTCATGACTCCTCTTTGAAACTTTCGATACTGGAACGTGTAAATAAAAGGATTACAGCACATATTACAAAATGCCATTACAACAGTGATATTGTAGAACACTCCTGATAAATTAACGTAGCCTCCCAAATTGTAGACCAGGTAGATGATTTGATTCGGGGTCCAGCAGACAGCAAAGGTGAGGGTAACAGTAAAAAGACTTTTAATGATGTTTTTTCGTGCTCGGTCCCTGTAATTCGGAGCAGGCGCCTGCCGACCAACCACACAACTGCTTGCATTCCCACCCCTTCGGTTTTCTAGAGAATGCTCCGGGTCGTGTCCAACTCTGCTCCGCATGGACGCAGCGATTCGAGCATGGACGAACAGCATAAGAGCCAAAGGAAAAAGATACTGACCAAAAAAAACGTTCACTCCAATAGCAACCCTTACAGACTTTGGAAACCTCGGTTGACAAACTGTGCCCACGAGACGAGTCGAGAACCAAGCATACAGCTGGTAAACGTATCCTATTACCCAGGGTAGAACAGCTATCTGCATTCCCCTCTTGGTTGTGATATTCTTCTTGTATTTGAAGGGATGTAAGACGGCATAGTAACGCTCCAGACTGATGAAGACCAGGTTGAATGTCGACGCAGTTACAGATGACCAGAAGAAGTACCTCTTGTCGAAAGTCACGCAGATGATTTTGGCACGGATGTGGTTGTCTTCGTTGATTGGTAGTGGAGGTACCCACCAAAGGAAAACAAGAAGAGATGTCAGTAGGTCGATCAGGGACTGGTTTGCGATGAGAATATTGGTAACGCCTAATTGCAGCTGTTTGACACTCCCTATGACGACCAGGACAAATACGTTTCCGACCACACCCAAGGAGGCCAAGATGGTCCACACCACATCCAAGATGAATCTACTCCTCTCATCAGCCATTGGAGATGGCGTCGAAGCCGAAGGCAATGGGTCGTACCACGAAGTTGAATTCATATTTTTGATGAATTTTAAACCGGTGTAAAATGGAAATTTTACGAAATACTTTATAAGAGGTGTATATCTCCCGAGTGTTAGAAATGAAATGAACTTCTTCGAGTCGATAAATTTGCTTGAAAGAGAACCGTCATAGTAATGGCAGTATCCTAGAAATGTCAATCAGTGCCGTACCGCAGAAAACCTGGCGAGAACAATACTGTTTTCATGTATACGCTCAAAGATATCAGTGATTATCTCTCTTTCTCCCTCTCTCTCTCTCTCTCTCTCTCTCTCTCTTTCTCGCTCTTGGTCTCTTCCTCCCTCTCCCCACCCCTCTCTCTCCCCCCTCTCTCTCTCTCTCTCCCTCTCTCTCTCTCTCTCTCTCTCTATGTCTGTATTTCTTTCTTTGTCGTTCTCCCCTTCTCATATAATTTTAAAGATTAAATGCGTCATCAATTCATCAATGAAAAAAAAAGAAATGTCGCAGCTTATACTTAGGCCATAATTTGTTTTCATGATAGGTATGTTTCGTTTTAATATGTACAGACATAGGTACTAAAAGTACAAAACAGTGCTTTCTTTTAAAGACATGAAGGCTAAAAGTTTGGTTATTAATCATGACAAATGTTATGACCTGCTTTGCTGCATGATATTTTCTCTTCTTGTATCTGTGCCTTACTTTTACTTCTCTTCTTCCGCAAATAAAAATGGCAGATATTCTTGCGAACACATACATTGTAAAATGTTCGGTCACATACCACACAACCTTTTATCAAAGAAAAACGCCGCTAAGTGACATATAATCTACTTTGATTATTTTTGTTTTTACCTGGAATAAATTCAAATCAATACATTTCAATCAGGGGCGGATCCAGGAATTTCTTTCCCCCCCCCCCCCGGGGGGGGGGGGGGGGCACATGGGGGGCACACGGGGGGTAAGAGAACATATATATATATGTCAAACCATTCAAAAGGCTATATGACCCGATTCTGATAACTAAATTATTTTGCTTGTAATTACACAGGATAGGGGTTAATTAACAATCAAAGAAAAAAACCCGGAATGATATTAAGGACGGCATTTGTTCCCTCTTGAAACGCCGAACGTACCGCGGTGTGTGCAGCTGAATATACAATGGCGTCTTATTTTGTTTACAAGCGACAGATTCCTTTATTTTTGTATCGCTGCGTTTGTCATCAAAATAAAACCATGCGCGGGGTTTAGATTGAGGCAATATATTATACATTGAGCCTGACGGTAGTGAAGTAAGAGAAAGAACTCAAGAGAAGATGAAAACACAGGCACTGAAAATGTGTAAGATGTCATGGGACATCGTCTGCTTGTGCAAATCATGTCCATACTGTGATCTCACACATCTCAGCAGCGTTCGGAGAGCTCTTCAGGTGCTATGCCGGGGCTGTATTCAAGTATTTTGTACTTTATTATAATCATTACTGCGAAAGTTTCCAAGCATTGAATTTTGATAACCTAGTCGAATCAAAATTTCAACTTTGCAATAATGAAAATAAAGTTAGTTTTTAAAATCAATGAATATCTAATGTACTTTAAGGCACCTCCAACACAAATGGGATACGCCACTGCACAAAGTTACAGGTAAAATGTAATTTAAATTAAGAAATCAAGTGATTGCTTGGAGAAAAAAATTATCTCTGCTTTCCATTCTCCATCCAGACGATTAGAATAATGAGTACCTCTTAGGAAGTGATTTATTGAATACTCTCAGTTCCCTGCTGCAGCTGGGCTAAATACGTCTTTAACCATAGGCGCCGGAAGTGGGGGGGCAGGGGGGGCAGTTGCCCCCCAGTCAAAAAAGTGGGGGGGCAAAACGCATTTTTGCCCCCCCAAAACGCCCCCCCCCCCCTCCAAAAAAAAAAAAAAAAAGCAGTAAAGGAATAAACATGGTTTGTATTTTTAACCCAAAAGAACATAACAATAATAAAAACCTGAATTAAAGCACATATACCATTCCATTCAAAGAAAAGGAAAGTTCACAGGAATTAAATTTTTATAAACATTGCGCATGCTACCTATACGGTTTATAATAGCGATACGCGCATATCGTGGACATATTGTGCGAGAATGGGAAAACGTGTCTGTTTTTTTGGTTTTGTTATAGGGGTGAGAAGACATGAGCCCCTGAACGCTGGCGTACTGATGGGGGGGGGGGTATATCTATACGATACCAGTGATTTACACATGTTGCTATTATGACATGATTTTCCGGTATTTTTTCTCCATTTTTTTTAAAGTCATACCTTTTTATGCGTTTGTTGGAAAATAAGAAATTCCCAAATTACAGTCGGGCGAAAAATACGCTTATTTAGAAGCCTTTATGACATGGTCTGCAAAGTGGCTGGGCTCGAGCCCCTCCCCCCTCACTTTTTGAAAAAGTATGTTAAAGAGAAAAAGAAAGAAAGACGGAGAGAAAAAATAAGTGACCTGCCAATGTCACAAATAAGGCATAAAAAATGCTCATCTGACCGTAATTAAATGCCTAAAACCCCAGAGCTTACGGGTGCTCCGCCCCCGGACCCCACCAAGGGCCCTAAGGCGGGCCCCTGGATGCTCATCTGACCGTAATTAAATACCTAAAACCCCTGAGCTTCCGGGGGCTCTGCCCCCTGGACCCCACCAAGGGCTCTAAGGCGGGCCCCTGGATGCTCATCTGACCGTAATTAAATACCTAAAACCCCTGAGCTTCCGGGGGCTCTGCCCCCTGGACCCCACCAAGGGCCCTATAAGGCGGGCCCCTGGATGCTCATCTGACCATTATTAAATACCTAAAACCCCTGAGCTTCCGGGGGCTCTGCCCCCTGGACCCCACCAAGGGCCCTATAAGGCGGGCCCCTGGATGCTCATCTGACCATTATTCAATACCTAAAACCCCTGAGCTTCCGGGGGCTCTGCCCCCTGGACCCCACCAAGGGCCCTATAAGGCGGGCCCCTGGATGCTCATCTGACCATTATTCAATACCTAAAACCCCTGAGCTTCCGGGGGCCCTGCCCCCTGGACCCCACCAAGTGCCCTAGGGCGGCCCCTGGTTGCTCATCTGACCGTAGTTAAATACCTAAAACCCTGAGCTTCTGGGGGCTCTGCCCCCTGGACCCCACCAAGGGCCCTATAAGGCGGGCCCCTGGATGCTCATCTGACCATTATTAAATACCTAAAACCCCTGAGCTTCCGGGGGCTCTGCCCCCTGGACCCCACCAAGGGCCCTATAAGGCGGGCCCCTGGATGCTCATCTGACCATTATTCAATACCTAAAACCCCTGAGCTTCCGGGGGCCCGGCCCCCTGGACCCCACCAAGTGCCCTAGGGCGGCCCCTGGTTGCTCATCTGACCGTAGTCAAATATTAAAACCTCTGAGCTTCTGGGGGCTCCCCCCCCCCCTCTGGAACACGTCAATGGCCTTAAAGAGGCCCCTGGATGCTCATCTAACCGTAATTAAATACCTAAAATCCCTGAGCTTCCGGGGGCTCAGCCCCTTGACACCCTGCCGAGGCTGGACCCCACGCCAATTTACGCTCTACCTGATCGTTAATACTTCACTTTGAAAAACGTTCCGCGGGACCTGCATGTAACGTGTAAGACTGGTGGTGATGCAGATTTTTCGTCTGCCCCCCCCCTTCCGAACGTTTTTTCTCATTACGTCACTGCCCTCGGAAGGTGAGCCCCCTGGAATGTTTGCCCCCCCAATCCCAAACTGCTTCCGGCGCGCCTGTCTTTAACATTCCTTTTGACGAGCAAGTGCGCAGTAATGAAGCTATAGTACCGAGCTAGTATTATTATTATTATTATTATCCTCAATATTTACCTCTATAAGGAAATGTGAATCGCCTGGTGAAATTCTAGATGGCAATTTATGAATTAAACTGTATCAATTTAAAGCAAAAGGACATTAGATATAACATTTGTGGAAGTGTAGAGGGCAAGCGCGTAGACAGGATTTCATTTTAGGGGGGCGGTTGTGAGCACGCGAAGCGTGCGAATCAAGAGCGCGCATAGCGCGCTTCCTAGGGGGTGGGTGCAAGGAGCTTTGAAAGAAGGCGATTCGTTGGACCTGTCTCGACTCATAATCCTTGTCTGAATTCAGTCCGCCTCTCCTGCGCATAGCGCGGAAGCTTTGACCTATTATTAGACAAAGAAGACGATTCGTTGTACCATTCTCGACCCTTAATCCTTCTGTGTTCAGTCCCCCTCCCGCGCGAAGCGCAAAAGTTTTGACGCTTCATTAATTTATTAGAGAAAGAAGACAATTCGATGTACCGTTCTCGACTGTTAATCCCTCTCTGACTTCAGTTTCCTCCCCTCCCGCGCAAAGCGCGGAAACTTTGAAGTTTCATTAAATTATTAGAGAAAGAAGACGACTCGAAGTACCGTTCTCGACTCTTAATCCTTTTCTGAATTCAGTCCCCCCCCCCTCCTCCTGCGCGAAGCGCGGAAGCTTTGACGTATTGTTAGACAAAGAAGTTGATTCGTTGTACCTTTCCCGACCCTTAATCTTTATCTGTATTCAGTCCCCCTCTTTCGAAGCGCGGAAGCTTTGACGTTTCATTAAATTATTAGAGAAAGAAGACGATTCGTTGTACCGTTCTCGACTCCTTTTCCCTTTTTCTTCCTAGGTCCTCTTACTTTTTTCTTCTCTTTCTCTCTCTCTTTTTTTTTTGGCCGGCGTTTTTTTTTTTTTTTTTTTTTTTTTTTTTTTGGGGGGGGGGGGGGGGGGGGGTGGGGGGATCGTCCCCACCGTCCCCTGGCTACGCGCCTGGTAGAGGGATGAGGTAGAGGTATGTGCAAAAAATAAATGTCACGGAATCGTTTCAATTATAACTCTGCCGCTTTTGTTGCTGAAAGTATGGATGTTGGGCTTCATTGAGGTTATTGATACGCTACCAAGAACGCTTTAATATCAGCTTTCAAATTGAATTGATAGGTACTTAACTGGCAGCGCCGCAGCGGCAATTCCCGCCCTCCCTTTGTCAGTTTTTAACCGCTGACTCCAATATACATCATACCTATAACTCACTGATGTGGATGTTAACTCAAGGAAAATACGTGCTTTTCACCGCTTTTGTATTACCATGCTTTTGAGTCATGATTATAATATAGATATCCAATTGTCTTGTTAAGTGCATACGGGAAGAACAAAATGACTGGAGGAGTTTTATTTTGATCGACCAGACGAGATGGATGGATAGCCGAACCAAAAAAAGTCATTATGAATCACATCGATTTCTATTATTATGCCGAATGCTAAAAAGCCTTTTTTGCGTGTCATGCTGAGCTATATTCAGGCAGTAGACAATGACGATTCATGTTTTGCGGGGGTGTAATGGTAATAGTGATAGTCAACAGGGCTCAAATTAATTTTTTTGTCCACGGGGGCTCTTCCCCCCAAAAAAAGAGCCCCCGTGAGGCTTCTCACGGGGGCTCTTTAAGTACTGACGGGGGCTCTTTTTTATACAAATATCCATTGAATTGGTACCTATGACACTCCTCAATTATTTGCTATTTCATCATTATCATTCCAATCAGCATTTTCCCTCTTACAAATTTACAAGCTACATAGCTGTTACTGGCCTGTGTATATAATATATACGCATACAACACTGATCTTTATGATGTCTTTAACGTGACATATCTTCTTCTCCCCTTGCAAACGAGAAAGAAAACAAGGTCATTAAAAGGGATTAAGCGACAAATAATGATTGTGATTCAAATTGATGCGAATATTTGTTTGAATAAGCACTGCTATTCACCCGAATCTTCTTTGTAAAAACAACTTTTACAAATCTCAGTCATGCTTACTGAGATGAGACGTTCCATTCAATGTAAAATACTCATTAAAGAATACACTTCTCCTAATCTGAAAGTGATCTTACAACACAGTGGCAGATTTGCATGGCTGAGATTTGTAAAAGTCGTTTTTACAAAGAAGATTCTGGTGAAAAGCATTGCTTATTCAAAAAAAATCCTTGCATCAATTTGAATCACAATGATTATTTTGTCGCATGATCCTTTTATTAAATAACCTTGTTTTCTTTTTTGTTTGCAGGGGGAAAAGAAGCTATGTCACGTTAAGAAATCATAAAGATCAGTTGTATTATGCGTATATACATTATGATACCAGAACAAATGTTGATTATCAGAATGTCATTTTGGAATACCTCTATACAAATACCACTCATTTTAGCCCGTATCAGTATTAGTATCATGCAATATAAAGCTATTATTCTTTATTTAATTCAGTATAATGCTTTTCCTCAAAAATAGTTTTGCCATTTTGTTAGGGTTGAGACGCTAAGAAATGGTTTCAAATGTACATTACACGAACCCTGAACCATTGCAAAATGATGGTGGTTCTCTCTCTCTCTCTCTCTCTCTCTCTTTACTTTAATCATGCATTATCAACGACATATAAAGCAACCAAAAACTTAGGGTTATCTGAGATAGGTGAAAGTAAGAGTTAAAAAGAAAGTCATGCTAAAACGGCGCTTCACTCCCCCCCCCCCATGAAAAAAATAAAATAGATTAGTAGTCCTCCTCTCCAGCATCCCCCCCCCCCCGCTTTAATATCACATTTTCACTTGGCAGCCCAAGGGGGCCGGGGTGGGAGGAGGGGGTTAAACCCCTAACCCCCCCCCCCCCGTAGATCTGCCCATGTTACCATATCATTCCACGACATCTTGGTCTTCCTCTTCTTCTCAATAGGGACTTTTAGATTTGCGTGGACGTGGACGTGTTACGTCCTTTTAAGGCACTGGCAGTCACATGTCACGTCGTTTTAAGCACTGGCACTGCCTTAAAAGGAGGTCACACGTTTCAGTCATGCACGTTCCCATCGTGCAAATCTAAAGGTCCCTAATATTGATTTACTGGTCGAGGTTCATTATTTGCTAGTCATTTGAAATCACCAGATTTCAGCGGGTTAACGCTTTCACAACGAAAAACTTCTCCATGACCATGTTTCTGCCCTTGCGCGATCGCCTCCAGCTCCAGCAGACATAGCGCGGCAGCGTGCACACGTACCGCTACTAAGGGCGCAGTAGGCCTATAACCACTGCTGACGGCGGCACTGCACTGTGAGCTGAATCGGTAATATAGGCCTACTCATAAAACAAGAAATCTTGCACGCTAATCTAAGTTCCATTTCATTTGAAAATTGATACTCAATATTGTGTTAAAGTTATAACAGAAAAGAAAATCTTTATATTATAATTCCACGGGGGCGATTTTTAATTTTGCAATCGCCCCCGTGAGCAACCTGACGGGGGCGATTATGTAGCTCACGGGGGCGAATCGCCCACCGCCCCCGTGTATTTTGAGCGCTGATATTATTAGTCAATATTATTGACTATTTCAGCCAGGTTAAAGTCATGATTTATTTCGTCTATGTCTGACCGTCAACGAAACGGAGTTAAGTCTTTTGTCAATTCCGTTTGTTGCTACGGCAGGCAGCCAGTGAAAACGAATTCGTTTAATCAAAGTATGGGAATGCAAGCATCACTTTAAACAGAACGTTGTTATTCCTTGCTCATTTTTGCTGATTGAGGTGTCATTATGAAAGAACAAAAACTGAACTTTCTAGAAATGTGAATTTTTCTTCGAAATTCAGATACCGCCCGCCAAATTACTTTTTGGTTTCCTTCCTTCAAATTGCTTTTAATCACTCATGCGTGAAATACGCATCATATGAGTTGCATCAAAATGAAAGAGGAGGATCTAAGCTTTACGTGTCATTTATTAATCATAATTGTGATTAATTTATGATAAAACATCGATATTTCTCGGTTTCGTTTTTTCTGGGTCGTACTGCATAAGTAATAATTGATAAACGCATTTTAAGATACAAAATATAAGCATAATATTTGTGTCAATCAAGTGGAATTTTAAAGGAAATTGAGAAATCCACAAGAAAGCAGTGCTTGTATTTGTGTGGATTACTCAAGAAAGAAAAAATAGAGGAAGGCTTTTGTCACGCCGTTTAAAGCATAAAGTTTTACGTTCTACTACTGTGTATATGTCGGTATATTTTATCAAGAGACCGTCATGCCAAGCGCGTAGCCAGGATTTCATATTAGGGGGAGCGGTAGTGAGTACGCGAAGCGTGCGATTCACTTACAGAGCGCACGAAGCGCGCTCCCTAGGGGGTTGAGTGCAGGGAGGGGGAGTCCCCCCCCCCCCCCCCACCCGCGCGAAGCTTTGACATTTCATTAAATTATTAGAGAAAGGAGACGATTCGTTGTACCGTTCTCGACTCTTAATCCTTGTCTAAATTCAGTTTCTTTTGAGGTTTCATTAGATTATTAAAGAAAGAAGACGGTTCGTTGTACCATTCTCGTCTCTTAATCCTTGTCTGAATTCACTTTCCCCTTCCCGCGCGAAGCGCTGAAGCTTTGACGTTTCATTAAATTATAAGAGAAAGAAGACGGTTCGTTGTACCGTTCTCGACCCTAAATCCTTTTTCTTCCTACGTCCTCTTCCTTTCTTCTTTCTCTTTTTTTGTTGTTGTTGTTGTTGTTGTGTTTTTTTTTTTTTGGGGGGGGGGGGGCGACCGTCCACACCGTCCCCCTGGCTACGCGCCTGCGTCATGCCATAAGTATGATCCTACCGTACTTGCCCAGAGAAATATCATTTGTGAGGCCTCGCCTGGGACTCAAACCACAATATGATCATTATTTACGTCCATGACGTAATCTTCTTGACCACGACTACAATGAAAACTAAGTAAATTTGCCAACATCCCCCCCCCCAAAAAAAAAAAAAAACAACAACAACAACAAACAAACAAACAAAAACGAAGCAAAAAGAGGGGAAAAAGAGGAAAGACTTAAAAGAAAATTAGAAAACATGAACAACAACTGAGACGCCTAGGTACATCGAGAGAGAGCGCTCGACCTCAAGATAAAAACGGGGGCAGCACCTGTTTGTTTGTTTGGTACATTATTGCGCAATGGATCGGGTCGGAACCGAAGTACCGTAAAAAAAAAAAAACGTACGAACAGTGTGAACCATGCCCTCTGGTACAAATCCTACGATCTCTGATTCTGGTGAAAAACTATCAAAAGAGATGTGGCGTTTCCAGCTTTTGTGATCCGATTGCCTCTGAATTCTTATCGATTAAATATATGATGAACTGACTACCATTGAACATTACCAACTAGGCTAGGATGTGATTTTGTTGGCAAATATAGAACAAGTTGCAGGACGACGCCAAGATTTTTGGTTATCCAGCATGCCTTGTTCTGTGACGCCGGGACCACTGGGGTGGAGTTACCTGAGTTCTGTTGCTCTTGCTTTGTTGATAGTGTCGGTACATCTTTCATCAGCGAATGCTTGCTGCGTTGAAGAACGGGGTCCGACAACGAATTGCTCCTTTTCACATGGCCAGGTTTGTTTCTTCTAATTGATTATCCTTATTTATTCAGTGGTTGCAATTGTAAGAAAGTGGAAAGATAATGAGTTTGTTTTTAAATTTGAAAATGGGAGATTTAATAGAATTTCAGGGGAGAATTTAATAGAATAGTAGTAGTTTTAGGAATATTTAATAGCACAGTTGTTGATTTTAACTTTTGAGTAACTCACCTTTCGTTTTTATTATCCTGAAGACCATGGAAGCCCTTTTTCCCTGTTGATAACGAGTTATTTATAGATATTAGATGGAGTGTGTAAAATTAAGGACCTATTTATGTAATATTTGAGGCACCTTTATAATCAAGTTTAATTTCAGATTGAGTATTTTCTTGGGAGAAAAAACAATTTGTACAAAACAAACTGGGAGCCTCTAACAGGGGAATAACACAGCTAGAAATATAGTGATATCAATTACTTTCTGCATCTGTTACATCCTATTAGGTGTCAGGCTTCCCTTTAATACAGAGTCTATTTTGTCTGTCTAATTCTAGAACAAGAAGGACGTTAAATGTCATTGTACATTGAGATAACATCCCTCTTGCTCCAAACGTAATAGGTTAACTCCATAATGTGTATTGCAATCGTGTGAGCATTAGTCTCAATTTGTTCTCTCTGATGATAGGTTATAACAAAATAGCCTTACAAGTTCACAGATAAAATCAATCACCGCTTGTACAATGCCATGACCTTGTAAAAATATATATTGTCATGGTACTGTGTAGGACTTTAGTTCATTTTCCTTGATGAAAGTAAAAAAATATTTTGGTATCCTGTTATGACTCTCATTTTGGACAGATTTCATTAAAATCTATAGCATCAGTCTTAAATGGTATGATTATTATTTGAGAGTCTTTGAGATGGAGTGGGAAATTGATAGAGTTATTGTGATTGAAATTTGATTTATTTTTACAAAATTTCAAAAGTTTTCATGCAGAAAGTGGCTTAGATTGTCTAGAAGAGTTCCCTAGTATTAGCTTAGAAGACTCAAGGCTTGATTTTCACTTGTTAATGGACCATGATTTGCTAGGAAATTCCTTAGCAATAGGGAACATAAATATGGACCACGATTGGCCTGGGAGTCTCTTGCTTTAGCCAACGAGAATCAAGGGCTCAGTTGTCACTTTTGTTCTCGATCATGATTGGCTGGGGAGTTCTGTGGCATTGGCCAATAAGGACAGAGGCTTAGTTGTCACTTGCATCAATGGATCATATTGGCTAGCTAAGTTCACAATCAGTAGCCAATAAGGACTGAGGGTCCATGGTCAGTTGCTGTAGTGTAAAAAATTATGTATGAATTCTCTGCTATTAGACTTTGCTCTATTACTGCATTTGTGCTATAATTCAACTTGTAAACTCCAGAAAAACACACCTTAGTCTTATTAAACGAGTCTAACAAGACAAATTAATATAAAGTCTGGACTTGATCAGATCCTGGGTTGCATTGACTTTACAAGAAGAAAGTCACCTTTTTTCAGATCAAAACATAAGTGACAACACAAATAACAAACCAATCAGAAACATAAAATTTGAATAGTAAGGATATATTGACTGCTTTGAGAGGCATAGTGGTTTCTATAGGGTCAAGGGAAACTCACAACCTGCTATGACCCCAAGGCGCTTGCGCCGCGGAGTCATAGCAGGTTGTGAGTTTCCCGAGACCCTATAGAAACAACTATGCCTCGAATATTAAAAGCAGTCAATATATATTTTATATACCGAAAAAAAGGAAAATGTTGACTCACCCATTTAGGTTTCCATCTCTTTGAAGTCATGAATATTAACACAGGTTTCCATCTCTTTGAAGTCATGAATATTAACACCAACAATAACTTGTGTACAGTATGAAATCCAACAAGCTGTGCTCCAGTAGAACAGGGAATACCAAACACGTTTACACGAACAGTAACTTTTGTACAGGATGATATCACCAACAAGCTGTGCTCCAGTAGAACAGTAGAACATGAACAGTAACTTTATAAATTCACAAATTCGCAACATATTTACACAGACTGTGCGTCTAGTCTACTTGTTGTAGATGTTTACAACACAGTTTTGTATGTTAAATGTTGGGGCTTGGACTTGCTGGCTTGAAACATGGGTATTGCGCATCGGTCATCGCACAAAAGAAACTTATACGGTAACACGTAAACCAAAATGGGGATCGCAGCAAAATGACGTCACGTTTCACAGCCATGGAAAAAGTGCTATGAAAAATGGATATAAACCGGTAGAGCCGGGAAAAATGACTATGAATTTCAATTAGCGGGCATGGTTAAGAACATGACTGCATTTTCAACCAATCAGAAGACAGGATTAGTAAAGAATCTTAAAATGAGGTATATAATACAACATATTGCATACCTGCCAACCGTTCACAGCAAAAATTAGGAATCTCAAAAGGCTAAACTAGGAATACAGCCTATTTTGTATACTTTTCACACAGAATAATTTTAGAAAAGGAGAGGAAGCTAGGGTTCAAAACAATATCTTGATTGGATTAATAATAGCTAGTTCTTATATAGCGCTTTTCAAGACCAAATTCATAGTATTTGGGTCATAGTTTTACATGTATGTTCATTAGAGCAAATTCCTTGACTTTTGTTTTTTATACAGTCAGGCATTTGATCATGTAAAGGTGATAGTAGATAATGAATTTATTTTCATAATGTAGTACATTTAAGTCTTCCAAAAATGCATGATGAGTTCTTCCTTCTTGAGATAGTTGTTCTACTGATAATTTTAGGAGGGTGATGTGATCTCTGCAAGAAGCAGTACTTTAACCCATTACTTACTGGAACCAGGTGGTTTCTATGGTAAGCCTATGCGAATTAGATAATTCAGTAGTCAGCAGGTTAACTTTATGCCAATATTAGAAAGTTAATCAGCAAAGGCTACACATGTGTTCATTTTACAACTATCAATAATTTAAATGCAATTATTTTTTAAATTGTAAATCATGAAATATGACTTGAAACTGATTTTTGTTTGTTTTACGATTCATATCAGGGGGGTGTTTCACAAAGATGTTATGTCAAACTTATGGAAAGCCATTTGTACTTGTAGCCTCAAAATAAAACATATTCACAAGTGAAAATTTAAGTATTTCAGATTTGGTATAAATTACACATCAAGAACATGAAATCTCCTTGATGATAGAAAATATGATTGATATGAATCAACATGTTATACTCTTTAAAATAACTTTTACAAAATATTTTCATAGATGATAACAGCTTTCCATAATTGTTAAGTTCAACTTAGAATATTTGTGAAACACCCCCCCAGGTCTATGACTTGCATTGTATTGATCAGTTGCATATCTGTCAATTTTCTCAATGATAAAATGTGGTATGATAAGAATTTTAATATTTAATCTTTAATCATTCTATCTTGCTTCAATTTGCCATCAAAGTTCAAGTGACTAGATTACAAAGAGCACATTGGACTTGAAAATCTTGTCTAAGAATGCATTATTTATTCATGTGTAAACAGATACTATGGACAATTTCACTACAACAAATTATTTACAATTACTCAGTTTGCTCCATGCCTCCATTACTTTATTTATACCAATCAAAACAGTGTCTACTAGCTAAGTCTTTTAAAAGATTTTTTGTTAATGATTTGCATTCCATGAGTGAGCTGATTAGTCTTTGATTTGTCAAGCTTTCTTCATGTCATATCGAAGTTCAATTGATTAGATAATTTAGATTGCATTGTTTGTCAGGAATTAGAATCAATCTCTTGCTTATAAAAGTCAAACAGGAATAGTCCGTAATGAAAGAATGGAAAGATCACTAAGAGCTGAGGGATATACTGATAATTTTGAAGAAAAAACATGTTTGTACATGCAATCAAGGGAAACTTAAGAACAAATTATTCAACAAATATTATTTACTGTAGAGGAACTAAAAAGATTATCAAATTTTCATTTTTATTCCAGGAAGATAATGAATAAAATATCAGACTATCTGGCACAAGTTTGTTTTGATACAGTTCAGTGGAACCAGGAAGCTGTAATGAATGGAGATACCGTCTCGAAAGAATTTTCCGAGGGAAAAATAATTAAGATTAACCTGGCTTAACAAAAAGAAATGTAACCCTCTCCAACCATCATTTCCATCAACAGCTGTCCATATCAATGCACAGTCCCTCTCTGGAATTCCAAATAGTACGAAATGTTACGTAACGCCATCTGCTTCCCTAAGTTCTCTATTCACTCTTTTGCAAATATATGCAAGCATCGAGCTTTGAAGCCATGCGTGGCACCGAAAAATTAAGTCATGTTCAGTGAAGATGTATTTAGCTATAACATATAAAATACAGAATTAACAGCATAAGACCATTGCAACTTTATATTAGTCATCAAATGCTTTTTCTGTTCTCCGATGGCTCTACTGAATGCATGGCCATTTCAACCAGCGAAATCGACCAAGGAAATCGTGAGTTAGAGCGAATGAAAGGTTTTCATCATCATGATTTTCTCATTTAATTATTGATATTTTCCGAAAATTTCCGAAATTTGTACATAGCTAGGAAAGTAGTCTAAAGGTTTATCTTCCTAAAGAACTAAATGAAATTGTGTTATATGTTTGCGCATTTATTGATTGAGGGCTAGAAGTTGTCAAGTTATCACCACTATTCACCCCAAATACGGGCCCACAAAGCAAAAGCCGCCGTGCTCGCTGGGCTGGGATGTGTGTGTAAAGGGAGGACCTAGTGCTACTAGGGAGCTGTACGGTTTCGGAGGGGGATTAAGGGGATTACGATAGGGGAAACAAAAGACACGCGGTGCCACGGATGGCTTCAAAGGGGCCTCTTGGACGGGATCTCCATTCATTACAGCTTCCTGGTGGAACAATGCAATGACATGTGCAACACTCTTTTGTTCCTATTCCTTTTTTATACCAGGGCCCCATCTTATAAAAAGTTGATATTAATTGCCACTTTTTACAATTGATATCAATGGTAACTTTG